CCCAAAAAACCCCAAAAAACCCCAAAAAAAACCCCATTAGAGACCCCAAAATCCCCGTTAGAGCCACCCTTTAACGAGCTGGGGACAATCCTGGGGTGTCCCCATCCCCTTGGGGACAATCCCGGGCTGTCCCCCATCCCCTTCCCTCCCGTTATTTCCCTTCTTCCCCTCCCGCCCTGGGGACATTTAGGGACATTTGGGGACCCTTGGGACACTTGGGGACATTTGGGGACCCTTGGGGGACCCTTGGGGACCTTCCTGGGGTGTCCCCCTGACCCTCCCGGGGTGTCTCCCCCCTTTCCCTCCCACCTTGGGGACAATCCCGGGCTGTCCCCATCCCCTTCCCTCCCGATATTTCCCTTCCTCCCCTCCCGCCCTGGGGACATTTGGGGACATTTGGGGACCCTTGGGGCCACCTGGGGCCACTTGGGGACCCTCCCGGGATGTCCCCCCTCCCCTCTCGAGGTGTCCCCTCCCCTTTCCCTCCCCCCTTGGGGACAATCCCGAGCTGTCCCCATCCCCTTCCCGTTATTTCCCTTCCTCCCCTCCCACCTTGGGGACATTTGGGGACACTTGGGGCCATCTGGGGACACTTGGGGACCCCTGGGGACACTTGGGGACCCCTGGGGCCACCTGGGGACACTTGGGGACCCTCCCGGGATGTCCCCCCTCCCCTCTCGAGGTGTCCCCTCCCCTTTCCCTCCGCCCTTGGGGACAATCCCGGGCTCTCCACCCTCCCCCCCCTCCCACCTTGGGGACATTTGGGGACATTTTGGGGGACCCCCCCCCCCCCGTCTTTACCCAGGTATCGCCTCTGGGGGTCCCGGGCCAGCAGCACGGCCACGGCCAGGCCGATGCCCGAGGAGCAGCCGGTGACAAGGACAGTGCGGCCCGGGGGGGGCGGCCATGGTGTCACCTCTGCCCCCCCGGCTCGGGGCAAAGGCTCTTAACGGGATCAGCGGGGGTGGCACTGGTGGCACCGCGACACTGGGGGGGGTCACCAAGGGGGGGACACGGGGTCACCTCTGCCCCCCCCCCGCTCGGGGCAAAGGCTCTTAACGGGATCAGCGGGGGTGGCACTGGTGGCACCGCGACACTGGGGGGGACACGGGGGGGACACCAAGGGGGGGGGACACAAAGGGATCAGCGGGGACGGGGGGGGTGGCACTGGTGGCACCGCGACACAGGGGGGGACACAGGGTCACCAAGGGGGGGGTGACATCTCGGGATCAGCGGGGACGGGGGGTGGTGGCACCGCCACACCGGGGGGGGGTGGGGACACAAAGGGGGGGTGGTGACATCTCGGGATGTCACCAAAGGGGGGGGGTTACATCTCAAATGGGGGGGGAAACACCCCGGGGTCACCAAGGGGGGGTGGTGACATCTCGGGAGGTCACCAAAGGGGGTGGGGACAACCGGGGAGGGTCAGGGGGGGTCCCCAAATGTCACCAAGGCGTGAGGTCACCAAGGAGGAGGGGACATCTCGGGAGGTCGCCAAAGGGGGAGGGACAAAGGGGGGGGGAGGTTACATCACAAATGGGGGGGGGGGACACCCCGGGGTCACCAGGGGGGGACGCGGCGGGGACATCTCGGGAGGTCACCAAAGGGGGGGGGGGGGCCCAAATGTCCCCAAGGCGTGAGGTCACCAAGGAGGAGGGGACATCTCGAGATGTCACCAAGGAGGGGGGGACACAAAGGGGGGGACACCCCGGGGTCACCAAGGATGGGGGGGACAGCCCGGGATGTCCTCAAGGGGGAGGTGACAAAGGGGGGGGGGGGGTGACATCTCTGGATGTCCCCAAGGCGGGGGGGGAGGGACAAAGGGTGGGGTGGCCCCGCCCCCTTCACCTGGGGACCCCAAATTAGCCCCTCCCCGAGCTCCGGGACCGGACACCGGCACCGGGACCGGGACCGGAACGGGCTCTGAGCTCAGGGACCGGACACCGACACCGGAACCGCCCGGTCCGGGCTCTGAACTCCGGAACCGGCACCGGAACCGGGACCGGAACGGGCTCTGAGCTCCGGAACCGGCACCGGAACCGCCCGGACCGGGCTCTGAACTCCGGAACCGGCACCGGAACCGCCCGGACCGGGCTCTGAGCTCCGGAACCGGCACCGGAACCGCCCGGACCGGGCTCTGAGCTCCGGAACCGGCACCGGAACCGGGACCGGGCTCTGAGCTCCGGAACCGGCACCGGAACCGTCCGGACCGGGCTCTGAGCTCCGGAACCGGCACCGGAACCGCCCGGACCGGGCTCTGAGCTCCGGAACCGGCACCGGAACCGTCCGGACCGGGCTCTGAGCTCCGGAACCGCCCAGACCGGGCTCTGAGCTCAGGGACCGGAACGGGCTCCGGGACCGGGACCGGGATTGGAACGGGCTCCGAGCTCTGAGACCGGACACTGAACACCTCTGACCGGACACCGGCACAGGAACCGCCCGGACCGGGCTCCGAGCTCCGGAACCGGAGACCGGGACCGCCGGAGCTCCCAGTTCCCTCCCAGTGCTCCCAGTAACGGCGGCACCGGCAGGGAAAGCGCTCCCAGTTCGCTCCCAGTGCTCCCAGTAACGGCGGCACCGGCAGGGAAAGCGCTCCCAGTTCCATTCCAGTGCTCCCAGTAACGGCGGCACCGGCAGGGAAAGCGCTCCCAGTTCCATTCCAGTGCTCCCAGTAACGGCGGCACCGGCAGGGAAAGCGCTCCCAGTTCGCTCCCAGTGCTCCCAGTAACGGCGGCACCGGCAGGGAAAGCGCTCTCGGAACCCGCCCGAGGCAGAGCGCGGCTGCTTTGGGAGCGGGAGGAAGAGGAGGGACACAGGAGCAGGAGGAGGGAGAGAAGGAGGAGCGGGAGGAAGAGGAGGGACAGAGGAGCAGGAGGAGGAGGAGGAACGGGAGGAAGAGCGGCCCCCGGCCCCGGCCCCGCCGGCGTCGCCCCCCGGGCCCCGCAGGTGAGCGGGGAGGGGGAGCTCGCCCCGAACCCATGGCGGGGGGGGCTCCGGGAGGGATTTTGGGGGGCAGGACCCCAAAGCCGAGCCCGAAATGGCCCCGGGCGGGCTCCGAGAGCGCTTTCCCTGCCGGTGCCGCCGTTACTGGGAGCACTGGGAGGGAACTGGGAGGGAACTGGGAGCGCTGGGAGGGAACTGGGAGCACTGGGAGGGAACTGGGAGCGCTGGGAGGGAACTGGGAGCACTGGGAGTGAACTGGGAGCGCTTTCCCTGCCGGTGCCGCCGTTACTGGGAGCACTGGGAGGGAACTGGGAGGGAACTGGGAGCGCTGGGATGGAACTGGGAGCACTGGGATGGAACTGGGAGCACTGGGAGGGAACTGGGAGCGCTTTCCCTGCCGGTGCCGCCGTTACTGGGAGCGCTGGGATGGAACTGGGAGCACTGGGATGGAACTGGGAGCACTGGGAGCGGTCGCAAGGGTCCCAGGGCGAGGGGAGAGACGAGAATCCTGTGTGTTCAGGAGGCTGATTTGTTATTTTATGATGTATATTGCATTAAAATGTATTATTTTATTATATATATTACATTAAAATTACATTAAAATTACCATTAAATTACCTTAAAATGTAGTGTATTTTTATTACATTTAAATGTAATATATATGTTACATTTAAATTTAATTAAAAAATCATATTGCATTAAAATGTAATATATATTACGTTTTATGATATATATTACTTTAAAACAAATTAAATGCTAAAACTATGCTAGAGAATAGAATAAAGGATTTCATCAGAAGGCTGATTTATTATTTTATGATATATATTATATTAAAAGAAAATTATACAATAAAACTATATCTATTAATATATGGTAATTAAAAGTATATTTCTCATTTTATTATATATACTACATTAAAAGAAAATTATATATTCAAACTATATCTATTAATATATGGTAATTAAAATTATATTTCTTATTTTATTATATATATTCTATTAAAAGAAAATTATATATTCAAACTATATCTATTAATGTATGTTAATTAAAATTATATTTCTTATTATATATTAAGTAAAAAGAAAATTATAGATTAAAACTATATCTATTAATGTATGTCAATTAAAATTATATTTCTTATTTTATTATATATATTACATTAATAGAAAAATATACATTTAAACTATATTAATGTATGTCAATTAAAATTATATTTCTTATTTTGCCATATATATTATATAAAAGAAACTTATATATAAAACTATATCTATTCATATATGTCAATTAAAATTATATTTCTTATTTTATGATATATACTACATTAAAAGAAGATTATATATTCAAATTCTATATATTAATATATGTCAATTAAAATTATATTTCTTATTTCATGATATATATTACATTAATAGAAAATTATATATTAAAACTATATCTATATTAATTAATACTAAAGAATAGAAGAAGGGATTTCATCAGAAGGTTGGTTTATTATTTTATGATACATATTACATTAAAAGAAAATTATATATTAAAACTGTACCAAAGAATAGGAGGATTTCATCAGAAGGCTGATGTATAATTTTATTATATATATATATTACATTAAAAGAAAACGATACATTAAAACTATACTAAAAATGGAAGAAAGGATTTCATCAGAAGGCTGATGTATAATTTTATTATATATATTACATTAAAAGAAAACGATATATTAAAACTATACTAAAAATGGAAGAAAGGATTTCATCAGAAGGGCTTGAAAGGAGAAAAAAAAAGAAAAAAAGTGAAAGGAATGATAACAAAAGCTGGTGACCCTCAGAGAATCCGAACCACCCTCGCCGCGATTGGCCCTTAATTAAAAACACCCAGCGTGGACCAATCGGAGCTGGGCCTGTTGCATTCCACAGCAGCAGATAATTATTGCTTTTCTTTTCCTCTGAGGCTTCCTCAGCTTCTCAGGAGAGGAGAAAACAAAAAGAAACCCAAAAAAAATCCGAGCGCGAGGATTTTTCAGGGAATCTCAGGGCTGGAAGGGGCCCTGAGGCCTCCAGCAGCAAAGGGCTCAGGCCTTGTCCTGCCCCAGGCCGGGATCCCCCAGCGCCAAACGCGGGCCCAGGGAGGAGGAGGAGGAGGCTGTGAGGAAGAGGAGCCCGGCCCGGGAGCCCCAGGCAGGTGAGGAGGAAGGCAGGGCCCCTTTGCCCCCTCGGTGCTGCTCCAGCCCCGCCCTGGGGCATGGCCTGGTGCTGCCCTGAGGGAGGGGGGCAGATCCTGAACCCCATCCTGAACTTGTGGGGCAGATCCTGAACCCCATCGTGAACTTGTGGGGCAAATCCCGAACCCCATCGTGAACTTGGGGGGCAGATCCCAAACCCCATCGTGAACCTGTGGGGCAGATCCTGAACCCCATCGTGACCCTGTGGGGCAAATCCCGAACCCCATCGTGACCCTGTGGGGCAGATCCTGAACCCCATCGTGAACTTGGGGGGCAGATCCTGAACCCCATCGTGACCCTGTGGGGCAAATCCCATCCTGACCCTGTGGGGCAGATCCCGAACCCCATCGTGACCCTGTGGGGCAGATCCTGAACCCCATCCTGTCCCTGTGGGGCAAATCCCAAACCCCATCCTGTCCCTGTGGGGCAGATCCTGAACCCCATCCTGTCCCTGTGGGGCAGATCCCAAACCCCATCCTGTCCTTGTGGGACAAATTCCAAACCCCATCCTGAACCTGTGGGGCAAATCCCGAACCCCATCCCGAACCTGTGGGGCAAATCCTGAACCCCATCGTGACCCTGTGGGGCAGATCCTGAACCCCATCGTGACCCTGTGGGGCAAATCCCAAACCCCATCCTGAACTTGTGGGGCAAATCCCATCCTTAACTTGTGGGGCAAATCCCAAACCCCATCCTGAACCTGTGGGGCAAATCCCAGACCCCATCCTGAACCTGTGGGGCAAATCCCATCCCATCCCTGTGGGGCAGATCCTGAACCCCATCGTGACCCTGTGGGGCAAATCCCGAACCCCATCGTGACCCTGTGGGGCAAATCCCATCCCATCCCTGTGGGGCAGATCCCAAACCCCATCGTGACACTGTGGGGCAGATCCCAAATCCCATCCTGACCCTGTGGGGCAAATCCCAAACCCCATCCTGAACCTGTGGGGCAAATCCCGAACCCCATCCCGAACCTGTGGGGCAAATCCTGAACCCCATCGTGACCCTGTGGGGCAGATCCTGAACCCCATCGTGACCCTGTGGGGCAGATCCTGAACCCCATCGTGACCCTGTGGGGCAAATCCCAAACCCCATCCTGAACTTGTGGGGCAAATCCCATCCTTAACTTGTGGGGCAAATCCCAAACCCCATCCTGAACCTGTGGGGCAAATCCCAGACCCCATCGTGACCCTGTGGGGCAAATCCCAAACCCCATCGTGACCCTGTGGGGCAAATCCCAAACCCCATCCTGAACTTATGGGGCAAATCCCACCCTGTCCTTGTCCTCATGGAGGCAAATTAATTCCAAATTAATTGGGAGCCTCCGTGAGCTTGACGAGTTAAACTTCCTGACATCCACAGGCCTGGAAGGCAGCGTGAATTAAAGGGAGCTGCCTCTCCAAAGACTTTTTCCAAGCTGTTTTTCCAAGTTTTTCCCATGGCAGGCATCTTTTGAGGAAAAATCCCTTTCCTCAGGGGTTTTTTTCTCCTCCTGAGAAGCCGAGGGGGCCCCTCAGGACCAAAATGCAAACATTGATTATCAGCTGCTGTGGAATTCCACACATTGTGGGATTGGCCCCTCTTGGATGTTTGTAATTAACGGCCAATCAGAGCCTTGGGACAGCTGCCTTTGTTATCATTCCTTCCTTTCTATTCTTGGCCAGGCCGGGCTTGGGATGGAGCCTTCCCCTCTGTTCTTTTTAGCGTGGTTTTAATGCCATGAGCGTGGTTTTAATGCCTTGTGTGGCGGGAAATGGTAAATGGAGGCTTCTGGAATGAGGGGAGGGATACTTCGAGTCTTCCCTCAATGTAAAACCCCCTGGGAACAACTTCAGGATGTCCTTGTCCTCATGGGGGCAAATCCCAAACCCCATCCTGAAATTCTGGGGCAAATCTCATCTTGTCCCTGTGGGGCAAATCCCATCCTGAACTTGGATAGGGGCAAATCCCAAATTCCATCATGTCCCTGTGGGGCAAATCCCATCCTGAACTTGGATAGGGGCAAATCCCAAACCCCACCTGTCCCTGTGGGCAAATCCCAAACCCCACCTGTCCTTGTGGGGCAAATCCCATCCTGAACTTGGATAGGGGCAAATCCCATCCTGTCCTTGTGGGGCAAATCCCATCCTGAACTTGTGGGGCAAATCCCATCCTGTCCTTGGATAGGGGCAAATCCCAAGTTTTCCTTCTGGGACAAATCCCATCCTGAACTTGGATAGGGGCAAATCCCATCCTGAAATTGTGGGGCAAATCCCATCCTGAATTTGTGGGGCAAATCCCATCCTGAACTTGTGGGGCAAATCCCATCCTGTCCTTGGATAGGGGCAAATCCCAAATTTTCCTTGTGGGACAAATCCCATTCTGTCCTTGGATGGAGGCAAATCCCATCCTGAACTTGGATGGAGGCAAATCCCAAATCCCATCCTGTCCCTGTGGGGCAAATCCCAAATCCCATCCTGTCCTTGTGGGGCAAATCCCATCCTGAATTTGGATAGGGGCAAATCCCAAATTTTCCTTGTGGGGCAAATCCCATCCTGAACTTGGATAGGGGCAAATCCCATCTTGTCCTTGGATAAGGGCAAATCCCAAATTTTCCTTGTGGGACAAATCCCATCCTGAACTTGGATAGGGGCAAATGCCATCCTGAAATTGTGGGGCAAATCCCATCCTGAAATTCTGGGGCAAATCCATCGTGTCCTTTTGGGGCAAATCCCAAACCCCATCCTCTCCCTGTGGGCCAAATCCCAAACCCTATCTTGTCCTTGGCTAGGGGCAAATCCCAAATTTTCCTTGTGGGGCCAATCCCATCCTGTCCCCATGGGGGCCAATCCCATCGTGTCCCTGTGGGGCAAATCCCAAATCCCATCGTGTCCCTGTGGGGCAAATCCCATCCTGAACTTGGATAGGGGCAAATCCCATCCTATCCCTGTGGGGCAAATCCCAAACCCCATCTTGTCCTTGGATAGGGGCAAATCCCAAATTTTCCTTGTGGGGCAAATCCCATCCTGTCCTTGGATGGAGGCAAATCCCATCGTGTCCTTGTGGGGAAAATCCCATCCTGAACTTGGATGGAAGCAAATCCCAAATCCAATCGTGTCCTTGTCCCCATGGAGGCAAATCTCATCCTGTCCTTGTGGGGCAAATCCCATCCTGAACTTGGATAGGGGCAAATCCCAAACCCCACCTGTCCTTGTGGGGCAAATCCATCCTGAACTTGGATAGGGGCAAATCCCAAACCCCACCTGTCCTTGTGGGGCAAATCCCATCCTGAACTTGTGGGGCAAATCCCATCCTGAACTTGTGGGGCAAATCCCATCCTGTCCTTGGATAGGGGCAAATCCCAAATTTTCCTTGTGGGACAAATCCCATTCTGTCCTTGGATGGAGGCAAATCCCATCCTGTCCTTGGATAGGGGCAAATCCCAAATTTTCCTTGTGGGACAAATCCCATCCTGTCCTTGGATAGGGGCAAATCCCAAATTTTCCTTGTGGGACAAATCCCATTCTGTCCTTGGATGGAGGCAAATCCCATCCTGAACTTGGATGGAGGCAAATCCCAAATCCCATCCTGTCCCTGTGGGGCAAATCCCAAATCCCATCCTGTCCTTGTGGGGCAAATCCCATCCTGAATTTGGATAGGGGCAAATCCCAAATTTTCCTTGTGGGGCAAATCCAAATTCCCATCCTGTCCCTGTGGCGCAAATGGAAGCAAATCCCAAATCACATCGCGTCCTTGTCCCCACGGGGGTAAATCCCATTGTGTCCTTGTGGGGCCAATCCCATGGTGTCCTTGTGGGGCCAATCCCATGGTGTCCTTGTGGGGCCAATCCCATGGTGTCCTTGTCCTTCCTCCCCCAGAGCAGGAGCTGAGCATGGAGAGCAGCGAGGAGCCGGTGGCCGAGGCCGTTTTGAGCGGCTCCAGGGCGCAGGGAGAAGCCAGCGGGGAGGAGAAGCCGCGGAGATGCCTGAGCAGGAGGGGCTGCAAACGCAGAGCGCGGGGATCCGAGGGGCAAAGAGCCGGCCTGGGCCAGGGAGGGGCTCAGAGCCCCGAGCTGGGGCTCCGGGAGCAGCTCCAGGAGGGGCAGGAGAAGCCCCACGAGCGCTCGGAGTGCGGGAAGAGCTTCAGCAGGAGCTCCGAGCTGGGTGCCCACCAGAGGAACCACACTTGGGAACAGCCGAGCTCTGAGGGGGAAAAGCCTCCCCTGGGTGGGGAAGGGGCTCAGAACTTGGAGCTGGGGGTCCAAGAGCAGCTCCAGGATGGGCAGGAGAAGCCCCACACGTGCTTGGAATGTGGGAAGAGCTTCAGGTGGAGATCCTGCCTGATTATCCACCAGAGAATCCACACCGGGGGACAGCTGGGATCTGAGGGAGAAAAACCCACCCTGGACCAGCGTCAGAGATCCGAGCTGGGGCTCCATGAGCAGCTTCAAGATGGGCAGAAGAAGCCCCACGAGTTCTCGGAATGGGAGAAGAGCTTCGTGCTGGGTTCCCACCTGATTGTCCACCAGAAGAGCCACATGGAGCAAGAGCTGGGATCTGAGGGGGAAAAACCAACCCCGCATCAGGAAGGGGCTCAGAGCTCGGAGCTGGGGCTCCGTGAGCAGCTCCAGGATGGGCAGGAGGAGAAGCCCCACAAGTGCTCGGAGTGTGGGAAGAGCTTCAGGTGGAGATCCAACCTGATCAAGCACTGCAGAATCCACACTGGGCAACAGCTGAGACCTGAGGGGGAAAATCCCACCTTGGACCAGGGTCAGAGCTCAGAGCTGGGGCTCCGTGAGCAGCTCCAGGATGGGGAGAAGAGGCCCCACAAGTGCTCGGAGTGCGGGAAGAGCTTCACCAAGAGATCCAACCTGATCAGGCACTGCAGAATCCACACTGTGCAACAGCTGGGGTCTGAGGGGAGAAAACCCACCCTGGGTCAGAGCTCCAAGCTGGGGCTCCGTGAGCAGCTCCAGGATGGGGAGGAGAAGAAGCCCCACAAGTGCTCGGAATGTGGGAAGAGCTTCAGGAGGAGAGCCAACCTCATGGAGCACAGCAGGGTCCACACCGGAGAGAAACCCTACAAGTGTGGGGAGTGTGGGCAGAGCTTCAGCTGGAGCTCCCAGCTGCTTCTCCACCAGAGGAGGATCCACACCGGGGAGAGGCCCTACGAGTGCCAGCACTGCGGGAAGAGCTTCACCTGCAAGTCCCACCTGAGCAGCCACCTGAGGACTCACACCGGGGAGAAGCCCTACGAGTGCGAGCAGTGCCACAAGAAGTTCCAGAGCAGCTCCTCCCTCGTCGTCCACCGGCGCTCGCACACGGGCGAGAGGCCCTTCCCGTGCCCCGAGTGCGGGATGAGCTTCAAGGAGAACTCGGCCCTGGTCAGGCACCGCCGCACCCACTCCGGGGAGAGGCCCTACGAGTGCGGGCAGTGTAAAAATTCCTTCCCGACCAGCTCCCTGCTGGCCGAGCACCAGCGCATCCACACCGGGGAGAAGCCGTTTGGCTGCCCCGACTGCGGCAGGGGCTTCAGGCAAAAGTCCAGCCTGGTCAAGCACCGGCGCATCCACACCGGGGAGAGGCCGTACGTGTGCGGGCGCTGCGGCAAGAGCTTCACGCAGAGCTCCAACCTGTTTGCCCACCAGAGGAGCCACGCGGAGCGGCCCTACGAGTGCGAGTACTGCTGGAGGAGCTTCTCGCAGAGCTCCAGCCTGATCGTGCACCAGAAGTGCCACACCGAGGTGAGGCCCTACGAGTGCAGGAAGTGCGGGAAGAGCTTCACCACCAGGTCCTGCCTGCTCACCCACCAGATGATCCACACCGGGGAGCGGCCCTACGAGTGCGGGCAGTGCGGGAAGGGCTTCATGTCCAAGTCCCACCTGATTTACCACCAGAGGGGCCACAGCGGGGAGAAGCCCTACGAGTGCGAGCAGTGCAAGAAGAGGTTCCTGACCAGCTCCCATCTCCTCAGCCACCAGCTGATGCACACCGAGGAGAGGCCGTTCTGCTGCCCCGATTGCGGCAAGGGATTCAGGCAAAAGTCCAAGCTGGTCATGCACCGGTGCGGCCACACCGGGGAGAAGCCATTCCAGTGTCCCCAGTGTGGGAAGGGCTTCACCACGAGCTACAGCATGACCAGACACCTGGAGAGCCAGCACTGAGGTGGGAAGAGCTCCGTGGGCTGCTCCAGCTCCATCCCACACGGGAGGATCTGCTCTGGATGGGGCCCAGTGGGCCCAGGTGGGCAGAGCCACCTTGATCCGTGTTTGGAGGACACCTGGCTGAGGGCTCCTCATCCTCCTGCCCAGGTGGGCAGAGCCACCTTGATCCGTGTTTGGAGGACACCTGGCTGAGGGCTCCTCATCCTCCTGCCCAGGTGGGCAGAGCCACCTTGATCCATGTTTGGGGAACACCTGGCTGAGGGCTCCACGTCCTCCCGGATTTGTCACCTTCTGACCCTGAAAAATCTCAATTTTTCCATCTTTTGGTGGTCTTCAGCAACACTAGAGAGCCTTGGTGGTCTCCACCATCAATCCATCCCCCATGGGAAGATCTGCTCTGGGTGGGCCCAGGTGGGCAGAGCCACCTTGATCTGTGTTTGGGGGACACCTGGCTGAGGGTTCCTCATCCTCCTGGATTTGTCACCTTCTGACCCAGAAAAATCTCAAATTTTCCCTCTTTTGGTGGTTTTAAGCAACACTAGAGAGCCTTGGTGGTCTCCACCATCAATCCATCCCACACGGGAGGATCTGCTCTGGATGGTCCCCAGTGGGCCCAGGTGGGCAGAGCCACCTTGATCCCTGTTTGGGGAACACCTGGCTGAGGGCTCCTCATCCCCCTGCCTCCCCATGGCCTGGATTTTGTTTAATTTCTCTTTATCCTTTCTAAATCTGAGGTTGAAAATAAAGATATTGAACGAAGACAAGGATGGGGACACGGAGGGATCTTCCAGGGCATGAGGGGGATGCTGGCTCCGAGGAGCTGAGGGTTCCTGGGGCAGATTCGGGGGTTCCTCAGGGCTTTGGGCACCCCAGGCTGGTCCAGGACCCCCTGCCCTGGAAGTGTCCCCACGTCCTCCCGTCCTGGTTCCTGCTGTCCCCTGTCCAGGACCCTGCTCCCATCTGAGTCCAGATCCCATCCCTGCTCTCAGGCCTTGTCCCTGTCCCATATTCTCTATCTGGTCGCCATTCCCACCTTCCCTGTCCTGTTCCCCTTTTCTATTCCACTCCCTAATTCCCATTTCTGTATTTCCCATCCCGTTCCCGTTTTCTGATTCCTGATCCCAATCCCAGCCCCTCTCCTGTATTCCCAATCCCAGTCCATTATTCACAGTCCTATCACGAACATATTTTATTTAAAAAAATCCTTTCCTTAGGATCTTTTTCCCCCTTGGAAGCCGAGAGGCCTCAGCAATGAAAATTTAAACAAGAATTTTCTGCTGCCGTGGAACGCAGCGATCGCGCCTTTGATTGATCTCATCTGGTTGTTATTTTAATTAGCGGCCAATCAAAATTTCAGAGGTCTCAGACTCTCTGGTCACTCACAGGATTTTTATTATCATTCTTTTCTATGCCTTTCAAGCCTTCTGATGAAATCCTTTTTTTTTTTTTCTATTAGTATAGTTTTAATAGATCATTTTTTTTCAATACAGTATATATCTAATAAAATAATAAATCAGCCTTCTGATGAAATCCTTTCTTCTACTCTTTGGTACAGTTTTAGCATGTCGTTTTCTTTTAATATAATATATATAATAAAACAATAAACCAGCCTTCTGAAACACAAGATTCTCATCTCTTCCCTCGTCCAGGGTGGTCCCTGTCCCCATTCCCATTCCCGGGTCCCCATTCCCGGTCCCTGTCCCCATTCCCTGTCCCCATTCCCGGTCCCCATTCCCTCTCCCCTGTCCCCATTTCCGTCCCTGGCCCCATTCCCGGTCCCCATTCCCGGTCGCCATTCCCGGTCCCCTCACACCGGACGCTCCTCCCCTCAGCCCATGACGTCACCGAGCAAACCCCGCGCTCCTCCCGCCCACCAATCCCAGCGCGCGATCGCTCCCAGATTTGCATAACCACGCCCATTCATCTTGGCCCCGCCTGCTTTTGGGGGCCGGCGCTGCCCGGGCCGGACTCGGAGCGGAGGAAGAGGAGGGGGAGAAGGAGGAAGAGGAAGAGGAGGGACAACGGAAGAGGAAGAGCGGCCCCAACCCCACGCGGTTCCCCCGCTCCGGCCGCAGCTGCCCCGGCCCCGCCGGCATCGCCCCCCGGAGCCCCGCAGGTGAGCGGGGAGGGGGAGCTCGCCCCGAACCCATGGCGGGGGGGGGCTCCGGGAGGGTTTTTGGGGGGCAGGGGAGGCAAATCCCATCCTTGTCCCCATGGGGGCCAATCCCATCGTGTCCCCATGGGGGCCAATCCCATCGTGGTTTTGTCCCCATGGGGGCAAATCCCATCCTGAACTTGTGGGGCAAATCCCAAACCCCATCCTGTCCTTGTGGGGCAAATCCCATCCTGAACTTGGATGGGGCAATTCCCAAATTTTCCTTGTGGGTCAAATCCCAAATTTTCCTTGTGGGGCAAAACCCATCCTGTCCTTGGATGGAGGCAAATCCCATCCTGAACTTGGATGGAGGCAAATCCCATCGGGACCTTGTGGGGCAAATCCCATCGTGTCCTTGTCCCCACGGGGCCAATCCCATGGTGTCCTTGTGGGGCCAATCCCATGGTGTCCTTGTCCCCATGGGGGAAAATCCCACGGTGTCCTTGTCCCCACGGGGCCAATCCCACGGTGTCCTTGTCCCCACGGGGGCCAATCCCACGGTGTCCTTGTCGTTCCTCCCCCAGAGCAGGAGCTGAGCATGGAGAGCAGCGAGGAGCCGGTGGCCGAGGCCGTTTTGAGCGGCTCCAGGGCGCAGGGAGAAGCCAGCGGGGAGGAGAAGCCGCGGAGATGCCTGAGCAGGAGGGGCTGCAAACGCAGAGCGCGGGGATCCGAGGGGCAAAGAGCCGGCCTGGGCCAGGGAGGGGCTCAGAGCCCCGAGCTGGGGCTCCGGGAGCAGCTCCAGGATGGGCAGGAGAAGCCCCAGGAGCGCTCGGAGTGCGGGAAGAGCTTCAGCAGGAGCTCCGAGCTGGGTGCCCACCTGAAGAACCACATGGAGCAACACCCGGGATCTGAGAGGGAAAAACCCACCCTGGACCTGGGTCAGAGATCAGAGCTGGGGCTCCGTGAGCAGCTCCAGGATGGGCAGGAGAAGCCCCACGAGCGCTCGGAGTGCGGGAAGAGCTTCACCAAAAGGTCCCACCTGATTGTCCACCTGAGGAACCACATGGAACAACACCCGGGATCTGAGGGAGAAAAACCCACCCTGGACCAGGGTCAGAGCTCAGAGCTGCGGGTCCGTGAGCAGCTCCAGGATGGGCAGGAGAAGAAGCCCCACGAGTGCTTGGAATGCGGGAAGAGCTTCAAGAGGAGATCCTGCCTTGTTGTCCACCAAAAAATCCACACGGGATCTGAGGGGGAAAAACCCACCCTGGACCAGGGTCAGAGCTCAGAGCTGGGACTCCAAGAGCAGCTCCAGGATGGGGAGAAGAAGCCCCACAAGTGTTTGGAATGTGGGAAGAGCTTCACCAAAAGGTCCCACCTGATTGTCCACCAGAGGAGCCACACGGGATCTGAGGGGGAAAAACCCACCCTGGACCAGGGTCAGAGCCCAGAGCTGGGGCTCCGTGAGCAGCTCCAGGATGGGCAGGAGAAGAAGCCCCACAAGTGTTTGGAGTGTGGGAAGAGCTTCATGCTGAGCTTCCACCTGGTTGACCATTCCAGAGTCCACACAGGAGAACGTCCCTACGAGTGTGGGCTGTGTGGGAAGAGCTTCACCAGCAGCTCCTACCTGAGGGTCCACCAGAGGATGCACACCGGGGAGAAGCCCTACGAGTGCGGGCAGTGCAAGAAGAGGTTCCTGACCAGCTCCTACCTCCTCGTGCACCAGCGGATCCACAAAGACGAGAAACCCTTCAGCTGCCCCGACTGCGGCAAGAGCTTCAGCCAGAAGTCCAACCTGGTCGTCCACCGGCGCATCCACACCGATGAGAGGCCCTACGAGTGTCCCCGGTGTGGGAAGGGCTTCAGGACAAACTGCCAGCTGGTTGTCCACCACAGGACGCACACGGGAGAGCGGCCCTACGAGTGTGGGCAGTGCGGGAAGAGCTTCAGCAGCAACTCCCAGCTGATTTTTCACCGGAGGAGCCACTCGGGGCGTCGCCGTGAGGGATCCGAGGGGGGAAAGCCCAGGCTGGGTCATGGAGGTGGTCACAGATCCAAGCTGGAGGTTCAGGATGGGGAGAATTGCCACAAATGCCGGGAATGTGGGAAGAGCTTCATGTCCAAGTCCTCCTTGCTCTACCACCACCGCATCCACACCGGCGAGAGGCCCTACGGGTGTCCCCAGTGCGGGAAGAGCTTCAGGGAGCGCTCGAGCCTCAACGTCCACCTCAGGATCCACACTGGAGAACGGCCCTACAGGTGCGGGCAGTGCGGGAAGGGCTTCACCTCCAGCACGGGGCTGACCGTCCACCGCAGGAGGCACACGGGGGAGCGGCCCTACGGGTGCCCCCAGTGCGGGAAGAGCTTCAGGGAGCACTCGAGCCTCAAAGTCCACCTCAGGATCCACACTGGAGAACGGCCCTACAGGTGCCCCCAGTGCGGGAAGGGCTTCAGGGAGCGTTCAAGCCTCAACGTCCACCTCAGGATCCACACTGGAGAACGCCCCTACAGGTGCCCCCAGTGCGGGAAGGGCTTCACCTCCAGCACGGGGCTGACCGTCCACCGCAGGAGGCACACGGGGGAGCGGCCCTACGAGTGCCCCCAGTGCCCCAAGAGCTTCAGCAGGAGCTCCCAGCTGCTGGTGCACCTGAGGTGCCACACCGGCGAGAGGCCCTACGAGTGCCCCCAGTGCGGGAAGGGCTTCAGGGAGCGCTCCCAGCTGCTGGTGCACCTGAGGTGCCACACCGGCGAGAGGCCCTACGAGTGCCCCCAGTGCCCCAAGAGCTTCAGCGGGAGGTCCCAGCTGCTGGTGCACCTGAGGTGCCACACCGGCGAGAGGCCCTACGGGTGCGCCCAGTGCGGGAAGAGCTTCGCGACGAGCTCCTGCCTGATGAAACACCGCCGGAGCCACACGGGGGAGAAGCCCTACGAGTGCGGGTGGTGCGGGAAGAGCTTCGTGGTGAGGTCCCACCTCAACACCCACCTGAGGACCCACACCGGGGAGAAACCCTTCGAGTGCCAGCTGTGCGGCAAGAGCTTCAGCACCAGGTCCTACCTGGTCGTCCACCAGCGGTTCCACAGCGGGGAGAGGCCCTACAAGTGCGGGGAGTGCGGGAAGAGCTTCGTCATGTGCTCCCTGCTGATCGTCCACCGGAGGATCCACACCGGCGAGCGGCCCTACGTGTGCGACGTGTGCAGGAAGGGTTTCAGGAGCGGCTACCTTCTCCTGGTCCACCAGCGCTCGCACACGGACGAGAAACCCTTCCGGTGCCCCGACTGCGGCAAGGGCTTCAGGGAGAACTCCACCCTCACCGTCCACCGCCGCGTGCACACCGGGGAGAGGCCCTACCTGTGCCCCCAGTGCGGGAAAACCTTCATGCTGAGCTCCCGCCTGCGGGCCCACCAGAGGAGCCACACGGGAGAACGTCCCCACAGGTGCGAGGAGTGCGGCAAGGGCTTCACCACCCGCCCGGGGCTGGTCCACCACCAGAGGAGCCACACCGGCGAGAAACCCTACGCGTGCGGGCAGTGCGGGAAGAGCTTCACCACCAGCTCCTGCCTGAGGTCCCACAAGAAGACGCACAGCGACGAGAAGCCCTTCGAGTGCCCGCTGTGCGGGAAGAGGTTCAGGGCGAGCTCCAGCCTCAGGAGGCACCAGAGCACGCACACGCGGGAGGAACCTTTGCACTGCGAGAAACCTTTCCGCTGTCCCGACTGCGGGAGGCGCTTCAAGCTCAACTCCTTCCTGGCCAAGCACCGGCTGATCCACGCCGGGGACGGCCCCCGCGAGTGTCACCTGTGTGGCAAGAGGTTCTCGGCCAGTTCTCTCCTGGCCAGGCACCGGTGGAAGTTCCATTGAGGGCGGCACTGGTGGTGGCCCAAGCGCTGGAGGAGCTTGGTGGGGCTTCTCCAGCTCCATCTCAAACGGGAGGATCTGCTCTGGATGGTCCCCAGTGAGCCCAGGTGGGCAGAGCCACCTTGAGCCCTGTTTGGAGGACACCTGGGTGAAGGTTCCTCATCCTCCTGGATTTGTGACCTTCTGACCCAGAAAAATCTCAAATTTTCCCTCTTTTGGTGGTCTTCAGCAACACTAGATAGCCTTGGTGGTCTCCACCATCAATCCATCCCCCACGGGAGGATCTGCTCTGGATGGTGCCCAGTGAGCCCAGGTGGGCAGAGCCACCTTGATCCGTGTTTGAGGGACACCTGGCTGAGGGCTCCTCATCCTCCTGGATTTGTCAACTTCTGACCCAGAAAAATCTCAATTTTTCCCTCTTTTGGTGATCTTCAGCAACACTAGAGAGCCTTGGATGTCTTCTCCACCATCAATCCATCCCCCATGGGGAGGATCTGCTCTGGATGGTGCCCAGGTGGGCAGAGCCACCTTGATCCCTGTTTGGAGGACACCTGGCTGACGGCTCCTCATCCTCCTGGATTTGTCAACTTCTGACCCAGAAAAATCTCAATTTTTACCTCTTTTGGTGGTCTTCAGCAACACTAGAGAGCCTCAGAGGTGTCTTCTCCACCATCAATCCATCCCACACGGGAGGATCTGCTCTGGATGGTGCCCAGGTGGGCAGAGCCACCTTGATCCCTGTTTGGAGGACACCTGGCTGAAGGTTCCTCATCCTCCTGGATTTGTCACCTTCTGACCCTGAAAAATCTCAATTTTTCCCTCTTTTGGTGGTCTTCAGCAACTCTTGATTGCCTTGGATGTCTTCTCCAACATGAATCCATCCCACACGGGAGGATCTGCTCTGGATGGTCCCCAGTGGGCAGAGCCACCTTGATCCCTGTTTGGAGGACACCTGGCTGAGGATTCCTCATCCTCCTGGATTTGTCAACTTCTGACCCAAAAAAATCTCAGTTTTTCACTGTTGTGGTGGTATTTAGCAACTCTTGATTGCCTCAGAGGTGTCTTCTCCAACATGAATCCATCCCACACAGGAGGATCTGCTCTGGATGGCCCAGGTGGGCAGAGCCACCTTGATCCCTGTTTGGGGAACACCCGGCTGAGGGCTCCTCATCCTCCTGGATTTGTCACCTTCTGACCCCTGAAAAATCTCAGCTTTTCACTCTTGTGGTGGTATTTAGCAACTCTTGATTGCCTCAGAGGTGTCTTCTCCAACATGAATCCATCCCACACAGGAGGATCTGCTCTGGATGGCCCAGGTGGGCAGAGCCACCTTGATCCGTGTTTGGAGGACACCTGGCTGAGGGCTCCTCATCCTCCTGGATTTGTCACCTTCTGACCCAAAAAAATCTCGTTTTTCCTCTCCTTTGGTGGTCTTAACCCACACTAGATATCCTCTGAGGTCCTCTCCAACATCAATCCATCGTTTCTGGCCCGCGGGCGTCTTCCACAGCAAAATGGAGTTGGATTGGGGCAAAACCCTCAATTTTGGAGACTGTGGGGTGGAAAGCTCCAAAAGTGGGAAGGTGGGAAGAGGGAAGGGCCTCCAAAAAAAGTTCTTCCCACCCATGCAAGGAGGTGGATGCTCAGGGACACGTGGTTGGACTTTCTTGGTTCTGG